TTATCTAAGAATCTGTTTGTCTGGAGTTCTGTTCTAGTTTTTCAGTGATGGCAAAAGTACACGAATTTGCAACAAAAATACATTAATTCTCACCACAAGTATCACTATTTTCATTCATAATATTCATCTATTAGTAGAATATATTAAGAAATTAAAATTTCCTATTTTTTCAATAATTTTTTGAAGGATATAATATTTGGAAATTTTTGTTTTAGAAGCTTTATATTAAAAATCAACAAGATAAAAATTATATGATGACCATGGTCTACAATAATGAACAAAGAGCTTACGGAAATTAATTTTATTTTCTATAAAATTTAATAATAATCTTATAATTGAATGAGGTGTCTGTGAATTGAATGATAGTAACGATAAAACAAACAAAAACTATATATTATAATAGCAAAGAAAATGTACAAAAAATTTGAACTTTTTATAAATTAAATGATTTCAGCAAAAAAAGCGATGAATATATACAAAGAAATGCGCGTTTGAGAGAAAGGGATGGCAGGGATGGTAGGGATGGATGGGTTGGTGTCTAAGTCCAGCATTGGTCACACTTTTCGACATTGTTGACGGAGTCGTTCAACTGGTCGATCGCAAACTTTTTGACAAAGTCTGCGGTGGCGTCGCTCTCGACCAGTGTTTTGGCCATTTTGTGAACGCTATCGAAGTGTTTCTTAATGTCCTTAAGATGTGTCAAAACCAAATCGATGTGTTCTATGCGTTCGTTAAGCCGGTGCCGAATGGACTCGGCTTTGAAGTTGGATTTGTCGTAATCGGACTCGAGTTCGTCCTTCTCGGCGTCGGCCACCACTTCATAGATCAGGTTATCCATGGCGTCCCTCTTCGGTCGTATCCTCTTCATCAATAACATCACTTGTGTTTCGTGTAGTTTTGTGTTAATGTCTTTCAGATTAATTATACGGTTCTCGGAGTCGTCCACTCCTGTCCTCAACACATAACCAAAACCTATAGGATTTAGACATTTGTTTTAAATTAACTCAAATCACAAATTGGTTTTAGAATATTCTTACATTCGTTTGAGAAATTAATTATCAAAAACATAGCAATTATTAAAACATTCATTTTTGCGTTTAAATACTTGGTATTTAATATAAGAAACAAGATTTTGAATTTTAGTTGTATTAATACTTGAAGTGGTATTTCTCAGTGAAAAAGCTTAAGACTCGGCACAAAGTAATCGGAAGCGAATCCAAACTATTACTGAAATCATTGCTCTCTTGAGTTTGGCTTTTATACCTCAAGTATTGAAGTCTCGATAGAGGAGAGAGTCGTTATCAATAGAGGGATAAGTCTATAACAAATTTCTTCGACGCCTAACAGTGGAGTGATGTTTGGCTTTTCTATTGACTTTCAATCGACACAATTTGAGGCCATTATTATTGTAGTGAAGACAAAAAAAGTGATTATCGTATTGAATATAATGAACACAATATTAGATATTGTTATAAATAGGAGAAAACGTTTAGTGCTGTGGATAACAAGCGGTTCACAAACTTTAGACCCTTTCGATCGCTGGCACCAGACTATTACATAACAGATATGTTATTTTAGCCCTATGTTTAGACCAAAACCTCTAATCAATTAAGTCTTTTATGTTGAAGTAATCTCAACATGACTTCGTTGTAATTAATTTCCATAAATTGATAATACAATTAACAAATCATTTCCTCTTTCTTCTACACTTTCCATCGCTATTAATACAGAAAAAAACTTTTCCCACATATTGTCAGCACTTAAGATAAAATTGTTAGCAAAAAACAAAGCCATAAATAGCATTCACTTTCCTGTCAGAGCTGTTAAAATGTAGATTTCATTGCTCTAAATATAATGCAAAACTGCTTTAAAGTGTTTTGAATAATCCTTTTATAGATTGTAATTATGCTTTGCTTTCAATTTATTAATACCTTATCGACGATGCAATGAATATGTAATTTGATTAAAACATTATAGCATTTGATTGAATCGATTACCAGAGATGTAACCAAAGAATATTCGCTAATATTTTTCCCACAAAAACAACTGAAAAGGTCTTTAAATTCAGTTTAAACTGCTTTTTACCCCTTAAATAATATTCACTGATAATTAACACTGTTTTGCTATACTTTGATAAATAAAGTATATATTTATGACCGGATACTGAAAAGTCTTGGTTTCAAAATCATGTGATAAAAAACATATTAACTGATAGTATGTTTACAAGAATGGCTTTATTGAATGTATTGAATGTAGTATTTTACAAATATCAACAATAAATATTTGTATAACATTATAGTAAACAGCAATTAAGCAAAAAATTTAGTTGTCATCGACGGCCAGGTCTCTCTCTCTCTCTCTCCCTCCCTCTCTCTCTCTCTCTCATCCTTACTTTGACGTCTTCTTAACGTCGTTATGTGTTTTGATTCAATGTTTGATATAATGGAGACTCACTGTTAGAAATAGTATTTTCTGTTTTATTTTTCAATACTTCTAATCATTTATAATATTCTGACGAAATAATAATTTTGAAACCATATAACCATTGATTGATTTAATATAAATTACCATTCATTCAAAATTATTCTCAACTTTTATAATCCTTGAGATAAGTATTATATAAATAATCGATGGAAATATTTGTAACTTAAAATTCAATTAATTCATTCAATTTTATGAATATGTTTTGCAAAAAAATATATGAATGAACACAAACTCAAAAATATGGATGAAATAGTATTTCCATACATTTGTGTATATTTTTAAATAAGTACAACAAATATTATTGTATTATACAATGTTTATGAGATACTATAATTTTGATCTAATTATGGGTGTCTACACAATCTAAATAGAAATTGCCCATTGTGTTTTGCTGACAGAATGTTCCCGATAATAATTCATAGGAAAATTTTATTTATTATTAGTTAAAATGATTCAAAAATAAGAATAAAAATTTTCCATAAAATAATTGTTTTTGTTTATCAATGAAGTAATAGGTTTTGAGGGCATATTATACATGTAGTCAAGAATTTATTTTTATGAATTTCAAGTTGTCTTATAATTTAGCAAAAATGGTAAATTCTGGATGAATTAGTGGAATATTTATTTAACACCAGTAAATATAGTAATTTAGTGCATCATGTTTTTGGCACATTAACATTTTTAATGAAACGTTCATTAAAAGATAGTAGTTATAAAATTTTAATTAAATATATTATTTAATTAAGTACCAAATGTAAAATTTACACAATAATATGTATGTAAGATTAAAAAGCATTTCAGATAAATAACTCGTGTTTAATAAGCAAACAAATTAATGAGTTGCTGTTACATGAAGTAAATTATGTCTACAATTTGCTAAAATATGCTTATTTGTAAATATAATACCTAAAACCCATTAACTTATGCGTTAAAACTTGCATTTCTTAACCATTGATCTATCAGTTTAGAAGTACTTTTATAAAAGTGTGAGATTTATTGATAAACAGTTATTTTATTATCGCTTCTGTAATACTGAATGAACTGATCTATTGTTAAATTTAGACAAATATTGATTCTGTGATAATTCAGCACTTTTTGCATTTAAAAAATAGAAATTATCGCTATTTTGGCTGCAATTCCGATGTAACCAAAGGAAATATATGCCCCAAGTATTGGGATTACTAGTGTGTGACACTAATTACACTGCAATCGCCACTTAATACATGCATTTTTATTAAACCAATTCATTAATTAAATAAATATTTTCCATTCAATGACTTTGTTTGTAAGAAAATAACTTACAGTGAAATTTGCATTCAATAAACGATAACACTTTCATTAAATTGAAAAGACTTTCAAATTTGCATCGAGAGTTCACAAACCAATAAGACTTTTGGCAAATAATATTATTTAATTAAAAATACTATTGAACTTATATTGAAAATAAAACATGTCATTCACTGTGTTATCAAATTAATATTTTATATAACTTAAAAAGAAAATATAATGTAATTTTTAAATAAGACCCCAAAACAAACTCTTTATGTTTGTGTTAATAAATTGATAATTTAAGACAAAACAAATAAAATGATTGTATCTTAGATTTGGAAGTTTTATCATTGGTTTTAATGAATTGAATTTATTATTCATTTGGATTTATATGACAAAAATATTAAAGAATATAACGGGTATAAAATGGTTGGGATGTGAATATCAATTATTATTAGCCATAAGTTATTGGCAACAATTGGGATAAATTTCACTTCTTTTTGGGTACATTTTCACACAATATCTGAGTTTTTGATAAACATTTATAACTTTTATGGAAACAAATGTAAGATGTGTTTGAAATAAAACAAACATTTCATTCATAGCTTATATAAAATGAATTTCTATAATTAATTCTTAAACTAACAGTAGATGTCATTTAAGAGACCATCAGATCGTGTTGTTTCGTAATATCTGACACGTGTTGAACATTAATATCAATTTTAATCTGCAGTATAATTATAATAATACAAATTCATACCAAGGTTGATTGAATTTTTTAAATATTTAAATAAAATAAAAAATAATAAAAAGATTTCAATTCCAAAATTAATGGGTTTTAATGAATATTAAATGAATTGATATAAAAATCATAACAATTGACACTTATTTGTAATCACAGAAAAGCCTTACAATGAGTCAAATTCCTAACAAAACTTATTTGTTTTATTTGAGTATTAAATGATTTGATGAGAATATGAAGAAATATCTAATGGTCTGATCATTGAGTGTAAGAAATATTATTGTTTACGACATTTGTATTTTGATATCATATTAGTTTAGATGAAATTCTTGTCATTTATAATAATACTTGAATTAATGATAATTCAATTTTTGGATTTGTTTGAAAACTTTGGGAAAGTTTAGAAAAAGTGGGAAAACAAGGAATTAAAGTCGAGAAAAACACTTATCTGGGAATGAATTATCATTTCATTGTATTTATTTGTGTTTTAGTTTACTATACAATAAATAATTGTTGTTTATATGTTCACAATTTTCAATCATTAAAATTATGATAAATTATCATTAATAATAAACATTGTACAAAATATACTACAGTATTATGGCTAAGGAGGGAAGTATGCTAATATGCCCTAGCTGATCAAGTCGTGGTTGATATGGTCATGTCCAGTATTGTAATAAGATTCATAAACAATCAACAAAACGTGCGAATGGCCACAAACACCAAAGTTATGTGCAAATTTCACTGTGTGAAACAACATTTTTCATTGTTATTGTTAGAATACTTTCGATCTTGTTATGTTCAGTTGTAAATATTTGAAACAATAGATTTGAACAAAATAATTATTTATATTCAATTAAGATTCGTTTAAGATATCTCTAAAGAAAAGCATTATCTCTATAGACTTAACATTACCCATAAGATTAGCATTGCCATAGGCTTGCCATAGACAGCTGAATTCCCATAGAAACCCATGTAAACGCATTTGCCCATAGAAAAAGTGTTCTCCATGTTATCCTATGAGAGTCTCTCCATATTAAAGTATAGCCATAGGATTAACATGGGATCCCATTTTATTTTTAATAGACAGAAAAAGGGGAATGGCCGAACGATCCTATAAATCACATTATTCGTGTAGAATTGTGATTAAAAATGCTGGACTCAGCCATAAAAATGTCAGTTATATTTAAGTGCAATTAATGTGCAAAATGTGTGATACTTTAAATATACAAATAATTGAATAAATTGTCTTTTGATATAATAATAAAATATAAATGATTTATTACATAATGGAAAATATAGTTTTTAGTCAAAATACATATTGATTAAAATAATATAATTTTAAACCCAAACATACAAATTAACTAAAAATTATAAAATTGAGTGATTTTTGAAAATCAATTGATTTAAAAGAAAATTTAATGAGATTTATAGAGAGATTAAAATGCGTTAATTATTTAGAGCTAAAAAGAGTAACAACGAGTAAATTATTATATAATTTTCAATAACATAGTGTGAATAAAAGTAAGAATTGTTTTAAAACATCAAACCATAAGAAATAACAGGAATTGCAATAAGTTTTGAGAAAAATCATTGGAAATTAAAATCAATTTCGGAAAAAAATCAAAGATATTAAATACTTTTAAAAAATCAAATAATACTGCAATAAATAGGCTGTAATTACGGTATAATTAATTCACGGGTCAGTCGATAAGGTATGCGACTAAATATTGAACGAAATGTATTGATTGTATTATTTCTAACATAAGAGGGGAATAGAGTAAAGACAGGTATCTATTGATTGATATAGTGTTTGTTTGTGGCGCTAACGAAGTCGGGTTCGGTGTCGGATAGGCTGGGAGAGGGACAGGTGCTGCTGTTGGCAGAGCTGTTGAGGCTGTCGTCGCCGTGCATTTCGGTCATATAGTCTTCGTTAGTAAGCGAATCAAACTCTTTCTCTTCGGTGACAAAGCTCTGGAAGATTTCGTACAATATTTTGACAAATTTATGGACGTCTGTGAATGAGTTATAGATGGGAACGGGAGCCACTCTCATCACACTCGGCATCCGGATATCGCACTGTATATTCAAATCAATTGATTGTAATGTGAGTTAAACAATATATTGTGATGTTTTCAATGTGAGTAACACTGACCACAACTCCTCGCTTCTGGAGCTCTTCCTGGACGGGAGTCAATGGCACTGAGAATATGAGCGACAACTGCGCGCCTCTCTGTTCGGGATCTGATGGTGTGATGATTTCGACGGACGGCATGTGCCGTTTGCCACCACTGAGTCGGTTAATGGCGTGTCTGGACTTTCGGGGAAAGTATGATTTGATCATGAATTCTAGATAACCGGTCAGAAGGATCTGTTTCTCCTTTAAATCTTCGACTGAGGTTTGGCTAAAAATCTGTGCGAAAAGAGCCGTATTTTGTAATGAATTGTAAGTTAAGATGTGATAAATATAAAGATTGTGATCAATGATTGTCTTACATCGAGACTCGCCATAAGCATAGCGTTGAGAACTGGCGACGGATTACTGAGTTTAAACATATCGGCGCCAAAACTCGGATCAAACTCTGTTCACAACAAATGAAA